TACGTCCCGCTTTAACTTTTCACCAAAAAAAACTAGCTGCCTTGACAAATTTCCAAGTCCTTTAAAGACCCAAAATGTAAAGTGCAAGGACGACTTTTGCCATCCACTAAAACTTGGCATTTATGCTGATGTTGTGCCCCGCCCCTGCCCCGCCCACTGCTCCTGTTTCGCCCCCTTTTGCCCCCCTCTCCGGGGGCTGCTTGTCATTCAGCTCCTCAAAACAGCACAAACAGCGGCAGCAATTTCCATATTTGTTTACAAATACAATATACAAGAAGCACACACACGCAAAAAGAACGAGGATGAGAGGACTCTCTTCATTGAAAGTTTAAATTCTTCTTTTGTTATTAATATTTTCCGTACAAAAAAAAGAAAACAAGAGAAAGAGAAGAAAAATCCAGCGAGTTAGGAAAACTTTTTTATATCTGCGAGGGTGTGCCCCAAAAAGTATGCTCTAAAAAATAGAAATTTGATTTAGGCGACACATTATCTTTTATTTTTTAGATTTACTATTCAAGCTGCCCTCGTCGTCACGCAGGCTGTGTCTTCGGGGAAAAGCCCAGCTTTTCCCGCTTTCCCATTTTCCCAGCGACTGCAGCAAAGTTATGCATGTCTGTGGGTGTTCTTCGACGTATCAGTGTGTGTGTGCGAGTGCTGGTATTTACATGCTTACATTTCATACAAGCGTAAGAAAATATTTGCAGTTATATGTGTGTTTCTTTTTTTTACCAAACTAAACTTTTTGTGTGTACTTTTGTTTGGTTTTCTTTACACTCTTTTCCCCCGTTTTTCTCGGGTTTACTTTGCAAGTAATATTTGGAATTTGCATAGCAGGGGCACAAGATTTTGAAGGATGTCAGTAAATCCAACTTAAAGACACAGGCCAAAAAATGTAAAGCTAATCGAGCCAGTGGAAAGCCCCAAATAATTCTTCATCATCATGTTGAATATGTAGAATTAGCAGAAAGGGTAAAAATATATTTTTTATGAGTAAAACTTGCACACGGAAAAAATAAGCAATAATCAATTGTTTCTGTTTAGTTTTATTGTAACCACTTTTGTTGGCATTAATTAGTATTTTGCTTCCTTTTATTTTTTTGTTCTGGCTTTATAAATTTGTTCTCTGTGTGAATAGGCAGTTTCTGGAGGCCAAGTCCGAATGTCAAGGAAACTCAGCTCAGGGCTGTCAGACAGGCCGAAAAAAGCAAAGGCTGTGCACAAACATTTAACAAAATTAAACAGAAAGGACGAAGGACAACGGACTAACCCTCGGAGGCATCGATTCTACAAGCTTTATTTACATGTCATGCATATTTAAGTTGATTTCCATTTATGTTTCAATTTATTGTATGCACCCCACTCCGATGAACAAAAAAAAAAAAAAAAAGAGGAAGAAGAACATAGCTCCCCAAACTTCTATTTGCAATGGCAGTCAAGCTAATAAAATTTGCAATGCATGCGACGCTTGCATATGAAATACAATTAACAAATTGCCGGAACGGATCCCGAAAAGAGCAGGGCGAAAAGAGCCATAAGCGAATATTTGCCATCTAAAACCCCTTGCCGTCATCCCTCAAGCCGAAAATATTGCATTCGAAATCAATAAAATGTGCACTGGCAGCTCACCCGAAATGGAAAATTGCAAATGGCAGGAAATGAAATGAAATAAAGTGGGGCGGCGGCAGCCGAGGAGGAAAATGGGGAAAAGGCAGTACGTGTGAGTTCAGTTACCTGAACGAACAAACTGGGAAGTGCAGGAAAGTGCAGGGAAACCCTGCGGATTTCGGAGCAAGTGCTGCCAAAGAGCAAGAGAAGGCTGTACAATGGAGCATTTGGGAGCCGGCAAGTGGCAAAGTCAAGTTCGACAACCGGGGTCGCAATGATCGATTTTGGGACAAGGCTGGCACATGTGACCGAAAATTGGTCAGGTCTTTGGAACTTGTTCATTTCGAAGAAATTAAATCAAAATACAAAAAGGTTTTTATTACCGAATTTACTGAATATACACAAAAAAAACATAGTTAGAACTAAAATTACAAAAAATTAAAATGTTTGTTTTCACTGTATTAAAGAACTTAATTAATCATTTCGAAATTATAAAGCTCAAAAACCAAGGCAATAAATATTCCCGAGGGATAAAATAATCGTATGGTTTTGCCAAAGTTTAAGCAAAGCGGAAGGAAACTTGGCAGCAGTGTTGGCCAAGTAAAATAGCATCGACACGAAACAAGACGGACATTAAGAGGGGGAAATTCATTTACTCGCGAATCTTTCGCACACTTTATTGACTCGGTCACGTGAGCGGATTTTGTGAGTCACGTTTCGCGAGTTTTTCCACACTCTCTTACCGATTTTCGCCCATTTTGCCGTTTTCCCTTAGCGCGCTTTTTATGGCCAAATTTTACCTTTCAACTTTAATGATAAAAGTTTGCAGCTCTCTTTCGCTGGCTCTCTAAGCCATAAAAGACTTATTGCAGCAGCGGCCTAACAAGGTGATGCAGTGGGGCGGTGCCAAGTGGGTGGCCCTCGGGTGGTGGGCTTGGCCAACTTGGGTGGCTTCTGTCCATGTGCATTGGGCAAGCCATTCGTTATGGGCCGAGCGTTTGGACGTTTTCGAAATTTATTACATTGCACCGACAAGTTTCGCGTGTTTCGCCTTTGCGCCTACACTTCACTTAGCACCGAACCACCCAGCCACTGCACCACCACTGCACCACCACTACTGCTGAACCACCGGTGAACCACCGCTGCACGACCCGCTGTAAGCACCCAATCCTGCAGGTGAAGTGCAACTTTTTGCACCTAAGAAATTCTCCGCGGCAGGAATTTCCAGTAATAAGTTGGGAGGATGGCGTTGACAAGCCCCGAAAAGCGCGGCTCAAAACGTAAACATCGTGAACGAGTCGTCGTCTACGTCGTCTGACTGGCTTTTTCCCCCTCCCCGCTTTTCCAGCGTATTTTTGCCACCCTTTTTTCCCGGGTGCATTGACCCCCGTTTTCTCTCCCACATGGAGGCGTTTAAAAAAAAAAAAAAAACTTCGAAAAATGCAGCCAGCTAAATGATGGGAGGGTCGGGGAAAATGGCTGGGCGGACGGGAAATTGGGGGTCGGACAGAGCAGTATACATCCTTTGCTCTTCACTTTTAAAGATTTATATTCAGCATTTACAGCGATTGCAGCTTTGAATACTCTAGGTTTATTTGTAAATTAAGCTTCGATCGAATTTAAAGTTAATTGTACTTAACTAATAATTTATATTATTTGTTCTGTGTCTGTTTATTAATAATTGTGGTTGTACAACGAAGATTTTTGTAATGTAATTTTTGAATCTAATAGCATTATATAATTAAAAAAAAAATGAAGAGCATTTGGTAGTGCGACTTGAATGCCATTGCACTACTTATTACGCCTGCAGTTTTGCCGGTTCTTAGTCAAAATATACGCCGGCTGCCGCATTTTCCATTTCCCCATTTCCCGAACGCTTTTCATGTGCGCTCAGACGCAAAAGTCAAAATGTTTGGTTCAATGAACGTCGAGGGTCCGGCGCTTTAATGCGCTTTAAGGACCTCGCCAACGGGGCGGCTGAGTGATAAATCTTTATCACTTATTCGGGGATAAGCCGCTCTACTGGCCAAATTGATTAATTGCCGCAAATAAACGAGGCCTCGAGAATGGATGATTGGCAAACTGCTCGATGCGGCCGCAAATCAAAAATACATAAGACGATTTTCCTTCCCTTTTCTTTGGCTTTTCTGACAACTTTCGTCACGTAGCGTCCATCAGGCGGAAATAATTTATCAAAAGCGTGGAGAGCAAGGCGGCGACGGCTTATATTAAATAATGACTTGATGGCAGGAGAGACCCCAGCTCCACATAATTAGGCGATGGGTCCTCTTCCGGGACTAATTAAAATGCCCGCCGCTCGACAACAGAAAAATTATAAATCACATTTCTTGTATTTGACTCCAGTTTCATTATGCAAATGTTGGCGGTGCGCAAACAAAGTGATAAATCGGATAAAAATTTGCTATGGGCTTGGAGGCGCTGGGATCTGGTCATTTTTCTGAAAATCCACTTTTGGCAAATCTTTTCAAAAATTCCAATCCTTTCAAAATTTGCAAAAAATTATTTTTCAGAAAAGTAACCAGATCGCAGCACTTCTAAGCCCATAACTTTTCGTATTTTTATCCGATTTACAAGTGGTATACCTTTATGCAAAAAATGGATTTGCAGTGACCAAATCCCAATACTCCTATAACCATAACTTTTTTTAATTTTATCTGATTTATGAGATACAAAGTGCCGGTGGCTTTTACCACCAAGTGTCAAAGGGATTTGAATTGCGAGCTTCGCGAGTTTCGAGGGTCAAATGGCAACACTTTTTTAATTAACTTGGCTGTGAAACAGCCGCTTACAAACTTTCAGAAGGGATGTTGAAAAAAATCGTTAGGAAATTATACATTTTCCTCGACTTTCGAGAAACGTGGGATAAAAAACTTATGGAAATAATTACCCAAAATTATGCTAATGCGGGGTGTTGGCTGAATGTTTGCCCATTGTCATTATTCAGCTTGATTGTTTATTTTATTTAACTCTATGATGCTTGCTTCTCATAACAAATGGCTTCGCTTGCTTATTATTTGTAATTTGTTTACGTCTGCGCTTTGTTTATGTAGCTTAACACAAATGAATTCATTAAAATGTAAATACATACACACCATAGAATAGATATTGTTGAACAGTAACAAACAATCTTGGCTTGATTGTTTTAAAGTGTAAAAATATATTCAATTTTGATGCAACACTTAAAGCAACTTTTATACTTGTTCCTGACTTTTTATTCCGTGCTTGAGTGCTAACAACTTCCCTAATCTCATTACTTTGAGCTTCTATTTTTTTGGTAAAGCGTAGGCTTTTCATAATCTAAACAGCACTTCCACAGTCATTTTCCCCGATTTTCCCCCGAGCCCCTCACCCCTTGACTCACACACTCACGTAGTCAGTTGGTGAAACGTCAAAGTCAATAAGGAACAATTTTCGGAAGCAGTGTGTTTTTTTCTTCTTCACCGAGCCATAACAAAATAAAATCGGGCGAATCAGACAGACGACGACATCGAAATCGGAACGTGGCAACAACAACAACCAGGTGAGTGGCGGGCTTTTCTTCGCGTTTCCCCGCTTTTTAGCCGCTTTTCCACCTGAACCACACACACACCCACACATACACGCACAGAAAGAGAGAGAGAAACACACACACACACACACACACGCGACTCGCATTACGCGCAACTTTTTAAAAGTCAGGCAGAAAAATGTTTTTTAAACGCTAAATTACTTTTGAATGGCAGGTGGGCGTGGCGGCGCCTCGTCATGTGGGCGTGTCGCAGCGGCAGCGTCACAATTTCATTTTGTGCTTCCTCATTTTCCCCACCCCCATCCCCCCTTCTCGACCAGCGCTTTTCCACCGCTTTTCCGCGACAACAACAAGCGCTTTGTCACAAGAGGGGCGCTTTTTTCGTGTAACGTCTGAAGAGCGGAAATGCTTATCCCAACACTTAAGCGTCACGTGCTGCCGCAGTCGCTGCTGCGTCGACGTCGACGCAGGTGTACTCTACCTGTACCTGAATTTATATATGTATATATGATTATGGGGCCTTATAATCTCATAATGTAACCAAGTCTCAGAGGCATTGGGAAAAGTAGAGAGTACAGGTGATAAAAGCAAGTTAATGTTTTCAATATTTTAAATTATTAAATAATATAATATAATAATAATATAATAACAAATTTAACATCATTTTAAGAACTTGGGAAACATATAGATTTAAGGAATGGAGCCACTCATTAAAATATAAATATTATTGGAAATTATAAATACAATGAAAATCAACCTTCCAAAACACAGATGGAAATTCAGATATATGATATGATATCATTAATAATATTATGATATTATTCGACTGCGTAAAACATGCTAATCTACTTTAAATATTAAGTTCATTAACCATTCAGTTTTTCACTGGTTTTCAGGGTATGCTCTTGGGCTGGGAAAGCCAACCTCTTTCCCTAGTCACAGGTGCCCCTCTTAATTCCTCGCTTTCGGCAGTTAGAGTATTTAAATCTGTCCGGCCTCAGACTTGCCAAACTGTGCCACGCAGATACTTTCCCGCGCAGAAAGCGCCTAAGGTCGTTGTCGTTGTCGCTGTGGAAAAGTGGAAAAGCGAGGAAAAGCCGGGCACCCAGAGAGACAGGTGAGGAGGATGGAGGCTAAGACTGGGGGGAGTGGCGAGTGGGGAGTGGGGAAAACACCCTGTAGGTGTTTTGAATGTTTAGCTCAAGTGGCTTTTTAAAACACATTCTATGCTAATTAAGGGCCCGGGCCCGAGCCTAAATGAGTTGTCGTTGTCGTTGCCGTTGCCGTTGTTGGTGACGTTGACGTTGCCTGTCGTCGTTGTTTGCATTTGATAAGCCAAGATTGTTGCCAGCCAATGTAATCAATGGGAGACGGCGGAAGGAAGCACCACCGAACCACCGAACCACCAAGGCAGCCGTCATCATCGCTCATTGCGTAATCCTCGAGGAGCGGTGGCGAAATCGCAAAACCCCCCGCATTTAATTAACGAATTAACAAAGCCAGAAGTTTCTGTGGTTTTTAAGTGATTTCGGGTCGCCCGAAGGCAAACATTTTGCGGCCTTGTTATGGCATAATTGAATTATTGCCATATGAAAAAACAAAAAATGGGCTAAGACCCCAGCCCAAAAGAGCCGAGCCCAAAGACCCAAAAGCGTCGCAGGACGGACTAAAAGTACAAAAAAAAAAAAAAAAAAGGGAAGACGACGGCAAAGTTTCTTGTTCGCTTTCTTATTTTTTCCTTCACATCTCGGGCTAAATAAATCAAAAGTCTTTTGGGGCGCTTAACACAAGAAAAAAAAATATGTTGAGAAAAAACGGGGAAAAGCGAGGCAAAAGGCAAAAAGTCGGCGCCAAATTGAATTAGGACTTTAATTGCCATATTTGTGGGTGAACTCTTGAGAGTATCTAGCAATGCAGTTCGAGTAGAATTATTTATGTTTGTTTTCTTTAACTGGGAAGTAATTTTACCCTGTTTAAAATTTCAAGGGTTTAGTTTGTTTATTTTACAAATTCGTAAATCCGGATAGCCTTGCTTTTATTTCTAGTCGCGTCCCCGGTCGCCTGCTCGACAGACTTTAGTATTTTTTTGTTGTTTATAGAAGTAGGAGCTCACACTTTCCTAATGACGAAAATTATCCCAATTGAAGTCGGTCTAGGAATGATCATTCAAGCGGTCGTCGGGATCGTCCTTTTGTGGACCTCCTTCTTCTGGCTGCAGAGTCGCTACCTGGACATCCTCGAGTTGCTCTTCACCTGGATCTCCGAGCAGCTGGAGATAACTCGCATGCGGCAGGCTCAGGAGGAACGCCGTCGCCTGGCCAAGAAGTGGATGCCCATGACGAAGGGGATGGAGGACAAGCAGAACCAGAAGGACACCAACAATGATTCGGACCACGGGAAGCACAAGAGAAGTGATGGCGGAGAGATGATCTCCACTCCGCCGATCAAGAACCGCTTGAACATCCGCATGGAGCAGTGCTGCGATCTGATTACCTCCGGCTTGGGTCTGGTGTTGGAGGACGACGTGACCCAGCGTTTTGTGGCCGCTCCTGCTCCCGCTGGCCAGTGGAACCTCCTCACCCGGAACCTTCGCCAGCGGAAGCGCTACCTGAATTGGCGGCTCCGGTTCGCTTGGTTCTTGAGTTGGCTAACTCGCTACGTGTTGCTGCTGCCGCTGAGGACAATCGCCTGCTGGATTTGCCTGCTGATGATCAGCGGTGTCTCCGTTGTGCTCGGCCGCATTCCCGACTTCTGCTTCAAGCGGCAAATAGTGGAGTTCGTCCTGCGGCAGTGCTTTCGCATCACGGCGGGCTGCTTGCCGATGATCCGGCGGTTCCACAACACGGAGCACCGACCCACCATGGGCATCTGTGTGTGCAACCACACGAGTCCGCTGGACGTCCTGGTGCTGATGTGCGATGCCAACTACTCGCTGACCGGTCAGGTGCACACCGGCATCCTGGGCGTTCTGCAGCGGGCTCTCTCGCGGGTCTCCCCCACATGTGGTTCGATCGCAAGCAGCTGGCGGATCGCGAGGCTCTCGGAGTGCTCCTCCGCATGCACTGCTCCTCGAAGGACCGGCCGCCGGTCCTCATCTTCCCCGAGGGCACCTGCATCAACAACACCGCCGTGATGCAGTTCAAGAAGGGCAGCTTCGCCGTCAGCGACGTCGTCTATCCGGTGGCCATTCGATACGACCGGCGTTTCGGCGAGGCCTTTTGGGACAGCACTCGGTACTCGATGCTCCGGTACATGCTGATGGTGGTCAGCTCGTGGTGCATCTGCTGTGACGTCTGGTACATGCCGCCGTTTAGCCGACGCCCCGATGAATCGCCCGTGGAGTTCTCGAACCGCGTGAAGGCCGCCATCGCCGCCCAGGCGAACATCGATGATCTGCCCTGGGATGGGAACCTCAAGCGATGGAGTCCGGTGAGGGACTGGCAGTAGTTACCCCCCAACTGAAGCACTCAGCATTTCTTTCTCAAGTGTCTTGTAATTTTATAATGATCTGTTACAAGCGATCAAATTAGGTTGACGCAAATTATTGATGCAATAAAAGTAAATGACTGCTCGTTGGTCATCAAATGTAGTTGCTTACTTTCATAATTGGATAATAAAAGAATTTAAAAATATGTTTACTCTTGTGGATCTATGATACCACCTTGTAAGATAATAGATAAATTACTCAAACAATCCAAGAGGTAACTTTATCAGCATCAAATAATATAGTTGTGTATGAATAAGAAATCAAGTGAAGCAAGTGACCTTGTCTAGGTACTTATAAAATTTCAAAATAAAAAGTAAATTATTTGGTATCAAGTTAATGGGCTTAATTTACCCGATCCATTTGTTCATTTTATATACGTATTTCACCTTAAAGTAAATAGTTAATAGTATTTTTTAGATTGGATGTACCAAACCTCCGATGAGTGATGGTTCTAGGTCCTTTGGGAAGGACTCTACCAGGTGACCTTAGATCATTAGAATGGAGGACATACCGTTTCGGCTGGACAATCTTTCGCTCGCCGTGGCGAATGGAGGCGTTCGGTCCGTACCGCCCGAGGAGGGCGCTCTGCGATTGGGAGACGCCGCCGGCGGCGGAGGCGGATGCCGCTGTGATCGCCGCAAGGCCGCTGCGCAACGAGGTGCAGGTGGCTAGATCTCGTGGATGGGCGAGCCCGTAGGCGCCGAAGGCCGACTGAGAGTGGACCGCATAGTCGAGGCCCGGTAGCTCCAAGGAGGCGATCGGATGGATGCGGGTCAGCGAGAGGGTGCTCTCTAGCACGGTGCTCAGGAGCGGGGCGCTGCGCAGGGATCTCAGGCTGCCGCGGCGCGTGAGCGTGTCCGGCTTATACATCCGGTTTTGGGGGGCCGATTGACCCCCCGCCTCCTGTCCGCCGACTAATTGCTTGTCACCTTTCCCTACCCTTTCCCCTTACCCCCTTTTGCTTTCTCCTGCTGCCTTTCTCCTGCCGCCTTTCTCCTGCTGCCTTTCTCCTGCCGCCTTTCTCCTTATGGTGTTCCACTTGTAATTGCCGTAAACGGTCGGTTAGTCCGGCAGTCGCTTTATGAGCAATTACGCTGTTTATTGTGCAAAACGCGCAGGTCACGCAACTATTTAGCCCTCGTCTTCTGCTCGCTTGCTGGCCTCTGGTTTTCCTCCTGCTTTTCCTTTCGAGCTGCTTTGCTTTCTAGTTTTTCCTTATCATCTGTTATCTGCTTTCCAGCTTTCTCAGATTTTCTTCTACTTTCTGGTTCTTTCTGCACTTTTCTTTTACAGTTTTTCTTGCTTCAAACGAAACTCTGGGTTAATTTGCAAATTGGCAAACCTGCTGCTTAATTTCCAGCTTTTTTTTTTGTTGTTGTTGCTGCCATATGTCTGCTTATGTTTGGCTTTGTCTCCCGGTTTTCCCTTGCGTGCTTTTCCTTTTGGCCAGCCTGCTTTTCCAACTTGGCTGCGTGTTGGCGTTCTGTTGGCACAAATGCTTCTACAAATTGCTCGTCGTTTTGTAGTCGTTGGTGTTGTTGTTGTTGTTGTTGTTGTTGTTGTTGTTGTTGCTGTTGTTGCTGTTGTTGCTGTTGCTTTAGCTGCTTTGCATACAAGATTTGATTTGTCAGATTGCAGATTGCCATTGCGATTGGGAGTGGACACGCGGGGTTGCGCCCGACTAAACGAATATGCAAAGTGGGTTGGTTGGAAGGTTGCTTGGTTGGTTGCTTGGTTGGCTGTGGGTGTCGTGTCGCAAGTGGTGCACAACTAATTGATGGATGGCAACTCGCAACTCGGTCTCCGTCGCCCAATGGGTGCATTCGCGGCAGCTGTCGACTAAGTGATTCATCGAAAGCAGCCCTGATGGATGGCACTTGACACTAGTCGCTAATCACTAAGGGCCATTCACTAATCAGCCCGACGCCCTAATGAGTAACTCACTGAGTTCTTCAACTCACTTACTTACGGCTGAGTCCTTGTGAATACTCGAAGTTGTGTATAAATTCAACCCGACCAATTTGTAGCTTTGTATTATTTGGTTTCTACTTTTTGTTATGTCTCGATTTGTTGCTTAAATAATTTGGTTTGTTTTTACAGAATTTAATTGGAACACTACTAATAATAAAGGCAACCTCTAACAACCCTTACCATCAACAAGTGTAATTTATTAATTGGAGTGTTCACGGCAACACCTTAATGAATAGCGTTTAATCACGAAACTGCTTCAGTTAACGTGCTTTGCTCAAATTAATAATTCACTCATCAGGATTTCCTTTCACTATTTAGCATGCCACGTGAAAAGTAGCTGCAAATACTAAGCTTCCTAATTCATAATGCAAATACGATTTGTTTACTGTTCCATGAATGTAAGGTCGTACTAGGCTGACTGAGATTCAAAGGTGGCTTTTATCATTGAGATGCGAAACTAGTTTTCACACAGGGGAACATATTTACAAGTCATTTTTAAACTGCAAGACTTTTGGACTTGGATGCATGACAACTAGTTCTTTTTTGCAAAGGGATTATATTTACAGTTCAAGTACTTAAAACTAGTAATGTATAGAAAATATAAATGGAGAAGGGGTGGGCATTTTGTAGGTTCTAGAAATTGATAAACCTAAGAGAGGCAACGATTAAATTGCCTTCTTTTGGTTATCAAAATAAAGTACTTAGAACACAGCGAAAGTCCCTTGATATATATATATTTTTTATATATAGATTATATAGCATGCTAATGATTTAAGCTAGACTCACTTGTGTCAAATCTAAACGAACGATGATGAACGAACGTTGATCTTGATAATGGCAATGGCATTGGCAGTGTTGGGGGCGTTATGCTGTTGTTGTTGTTGTTGTTTTTGTTGCTTTTGTCGATTTAAGTTGTTGATCTCGTTGATTTTTTTCTTGTTTTGGTTTTTAGTTGTTGCGGGGCAGCCCTTGGCCGCCCTCTCACTTTTGGTATTTTTCCCACTCGATTTTCCTCTGCCGTCCGTTTTTCCTCCTTCGATGAACACTGAACACTGCACTTTTATTTTGTTTTTTTTTTTTCGGTTTTGAGTTTTTGATTATCTGTTTTTACTTTTATGAAACTAGTTTTGAGTTTTGAGTATTTACAATAATGTGCATGTCTTGATTGCTTGCTATTGTATTTCTGTTTTTTAACTGATGATGTGGGGGGACAACGACAATCGAGCACTGTGGCACGATTGATTTATTGAGTGTGTGACTGACTGACTGACTGATTGATTGACTGACTGACTGACTGACTGACTGATAGAACCTACGTGTGAAGCCGCAACGAATCAAATGGGCAACCACTCCAATCGGGTCTCGCGATCGCAATCCTTGCGCCCAGGGTTGTTCCTGACTTGTCCAGGGTTGCCAGCTCTTTCTCTGGCCATTTGCCACCGAGTCCAATCCATGGTCTTCGTCCTGCGTCCTTCTGCGCCACTTCCGCCTACTCCGCCCCCGGAATCCGGAATCCGAAATCCGAATCCGCTCACTCACCGCCGCTCGCACATCTGCCTCGCCCTCTCTTTCGCACTAGCGTCTGCCGTCTCACTTGCTCCTGTGGGCGTGCGTGCGAGTCGGCGTGGGACAGTTGGAGCCACGCCCCCAAAAAAAAAAAACAAAATACTTTCAGCTGTCCTCATAGACACTCGACGATCTGAAACGAAATCGAGAAGAAGAAATTGGTAATTTTAGCAAGGATAATAGAATTTAAGATAATAATTAGTAATTGTTTATTTATCCATTTTTGTTTTTTTTTTCGAAAATGCAAACCCAATCATTTATTTATTAGAAATCAATATCAACTAATGGCTTGTCAACATTTTTGCCATAGATTGATAATTTTGTAAATCTCCTTAATATTTTACGATGCCACAAATAATCGATAAATATGAAAATTTTCTAATCGTATTCCGTTTTTTCGGTAACTTTTTCGTGACCTATCTAAAATCAGCTGAGTTGAAGAGGCGAAAAATGTTGCCAAATTACTACAGATGCTGTCCACGTTTGGGTCATTGGCTGTGTTTTCCCTACCCCAACCACCGTTTTCCCCAGATTTTCCGTCATTTTCCACTCAAGCTGTGTGTGGGGGCGTGGACCGCAGAATGTTTTGAGCCACTCAAATGCAGCTCCCTTCCGTTTTGCCCGCTTTTCCTGCGGGCCGAATAAAAGTGGGCGAGAGGGAAATTTGTGCCCAACAGCAAAAATAATGAAAGTATTTGCTTTGCTAAGCACAAAAATATGTCAAAGTAAATTTCTCTTCATTTTTTTTTGCCTCGACTCGACCTGCTTCGTATCCTTTGGCTTTAACTGTGTGTGTGTGTGATGGTGTGTGGGAAAGTGGGTGGAAAAGTGGGAGTGGCAGTGGGAGTGGTTCACTTAGGTCGCGTTGCCTGCGTTGAAATGCGTCGCACGTAGCCATGTAGCAGATTTTCTTTTTAATATTTATACGCCCCCTCGCAGCGAAAAACTGCTGCAGTTAGATACTGGCAGTGCCAGTTACTTCTGATATTACTGCTCCAGCCAGTGGCACTGCTTACGGCTCGAACTCCACGGCGGTTTGGCTTTTTTCGGGATACCCTATACCAAGGAAAAGCTGGAGAGGTTCCCCATTTTATAGGCAGCTTACATAAATAAATGTTAAACTATTCATAGTTAAATTTCAATTAAATAACATATATATGATACAAACAGTATGTATGATTTTTCAAGAGAGAATAATCTTGGATAAGTTTGATTTTCAAAATGATCTTCCATTCATTCACAAGCTAAAAGCTACAGCTTTTCCAGGGTATTTCCCATTTCGTTTGGGCTTTACTCCACTTCGTTTTCCACGTGCTTCTTTTTTCGCTTGCCTCGTTTTTGCTTAATGTGAAGTCGTTGCGGCAGTTAAAGTTGCAGCAGCGCTGGCAGAGGCAATTGTAATTAACTTTTAGATGGCTTTTCTGAGTTTTCCCCGGCTAGTTGGGGGGTCGGGTCGGGTCGGGGAAATGGGAAATGGGAAAACTAGTGCCGCTGGCTTCTTGCAAATGAAATGCGTATTCTTGGCCTCAAGGAGCCCTGGCTGCGTGGCTTTTCCCGCATTTTCCCCGCCTTCCTTTTGCAATTGTAATGAGATTCAAGCAACACGCACAGAAATGGAAATGCGAGACAGCGAGGGCAGCGCCATTCTAAGCCACTCCAAATGGGATTCTGCAGATATTCAGGCAATTTCATTAGATCATCTCGGAATGCGTCTGGTCGCAAATTATTAAAGATTGTGAACAAAAACAAGTTTCTCATGTTTCCTAAAAACTTTTTATTGCTATCCAGAATAAGGCCAAACCGAGTTAAGTTTAGTTTTATTTCTACATTAGTATTTATATTTTAGAGAAGTTTAGTTTATTTATGTAATTCGCAGGAAACTTGAAAAATTCTACCATCACGAAATTTAAAAGTTAAGTTGTGGCTTCTACAAGTGGAATTGCAATAAAATCGTATTTAATCGCAAATGTCACTTGCTTTGGCATTATTTAAGAATCCTTTGCGCAGGTCCCCCGAGTCCTTGGCCAATTTAACCCCATCAGGAAGCGCTTTGTCTTGGCGTCAATTGCTCTGGAGTGCGTGCTCGAGGGCAATGAATTGCTATGATTTATGTCTCCGCTCGAGACGGAATTTACATTTGCTGGGCTTTAAAATTTATTCCAAAAATGCCCCGCGGCAGCTGTCAGACAAAAAAAAAAAAAAAAAAAGAAACAGAGGCAAAAAAAAAACAAGGAAAAAAGCGGCAAAGTTAGGCTGTGGAAAATGAAATCGAGGCAGAAAAAGACCCATATCATGCGGCTGCTGTTCCCCTACGGTTTGCGATATGATATATCACGATTACTGCTGACTATTGCTTATTTTGAAATCCGTTCCCAAGCCGTTTCTGCCTCGGTTTTCCCGCTTTTGCCGCTCTCCCCGCCCACTTTTCACCCAAACCCACGAGTACATTCTTGTTGCGGCTTGACAAGTAAACAAGCGAATACATCAATCAACCGCACGTAGAAGGCACACAAAAGTGACAACGTGGGTGGCCCCCATTCCTTAAGACTTCTGAGGGGAAAAGGGAAAGGCAAAGGGAGACAACCCTAAACATAACCCTAAAAAAAAGGCGAATTCGATATGCACGAGTCGTACGAAATGAAATTTCAGACATCACAAAACGACGACGGGAGTGGAATGGGTTGTAAAGAAAATAACTTAAGCCCTTTACCCACGATACACGCACACACATGAGTGTGTGAAAATCAAGTGAAGTGTATAAAAAGCAAATAGGTTCTTTAATTCATGATAATGTTGCCATGAATAAGTATCTCAGTACTTTAGATCGCGGGGAACTTCGCTAATAACAATACGATTTTTACAAGATTTTATTTCTGTATGAATACAAATTCATGAGCAGTAAAATACAAATTTGCAAGTTTAACTGAATTCGTCATGAATAAAATGTCCATAATCGGGCATTTCCCCCAAATAAGTTTACCTATAAAATACTCCCTTTTGAGTGGCATAAAAAAAGTTGTAAGTCGTTTCAATTTCTGCAGTATAAAGTGCGCGTCATAAAGCAAATGTCACTTGGTTACCCCGTGAACTAACCGCGATTTGTCAGGATTATTGGGTTTGCTAGAGTTGTGGCTGCTCCTAAGCAGCGTCATCAATATTAAGTTACCAACTAAAAAAAAAAAAAGGGAAGCATGATTTCCGCCACTTTTGACTGATAGACTCGTACTGCTTTGTTCAACTTTATTATTCTTGGCAAACTGCTTCCACTTTCACTATATCTTCTGCGTACTTCCTTTGTGTGTCTGGGCCTTTTGGGTTTTTTTTTCGGTTGGTAGTGGGAAACTTCTTGTGGCTCGTAAATTTTATGAAATAAAATGGCAATAAAACATGCCCAAAACATGTGTATGTGGTGGGTGCGTATTTCTGTTTCTGTATATTCTGCAATTATTTGATTACTTTTGCTCTCGGAATTTATTAGCTAAGCAAACATGGAAATTCACACACATCCGGGGAAAAACTTTTGCCCAGGCACGTTTACGTTTGAAGGGGGCGAAAAGCGAGTGCAAATATTGAATTAATCAAATTTCATTCTCTCGTGTGTAATTATTCGTGAGATTATGGATATACAGAAACGAAAGCAAGGTGTATTTGCCATGTCAAGAGGTCTTGGGGGCGGTTCCCTGAAAAGTTTAAGCCGTGCTATAACACTCATATCCCAAATCACAGCCTCAAAACCCCGATAATCCTGCCGAAAACTAGCCTAAGTCCTTAGCCACACACAAACACGCACCCCCACACACACACAAACACACACACCGACAAAGCGACAGGCTTTTGACAACAAAGATCCCAAAAGGAGAACCTAAAATTTGTCACATCGACTTAAGCTACTTACGGGTAAAAATGCAAATTCCCCAAAAAGGACACTCGAGTGATGCGTCGATAATGCGATTTCAATGAGCATATGCGTTTATCACATTAAAAGACAATTTGGCATATTAAAAAAAGAGAAGAAAAAAAGGAAAACGAGTCCCGAAATTGTGGATCAAAAGCATTCGGGACACAATCCTTTTGCCAGGGATTTGGAAAAAAAGGCGAAATGTTGGCAATGGCTCCTTGGCTCCAGGACCGCGAATCGAATCAATAAAATTCAAATTAGTTTTGGGCAATCAGACGAGCGAGCCTACTGCCAATCGGAATCCCATCCTGGCGCAATCATTTAGCCATTGCCATGGCAAAAAGGATGCGCCCTTCTGGCCAAAAGTGTTTGTGGCCACTTGAAACAAAAGGAAATCCCCTTCTGGCGCGGGGGGGGGGGGGCGATGAAATCCCGAGAAAATCGGCCGAGTTGTTATCCGGACAAATCAAATCAGAATCAAGTAATTTGCCATGATTTCTCGGCGCTGTGACCGCAAGCTCAATTAAATTACCGAAAATCCAGAGACGACAACTGAGTAAAAACGAGGATTAAATGGCCGTTAGAGATGCTCTATAATAAATTATGGGTATTTAGACCCATTTAAATATTAAAGCACATTTTCTTGTAAACCTAACTAGAGTAATCTAATAACTGCTGATTTAGGTATTTTGATAATTAGGTAATAATATTCATAATGGTACAAAATAATTCCAACGTAATTAAAACACTTTAATGTAAGACTTTCACTGTTAAACTTTAAATTTAAAACCACTGCGAGAGAAATAGTTATTTTTAGTGCTTCCTCGCTGCTCGCAATTTATGCAAATTCGATCGATTGAAGTGTTGTTAACAACTTTATTCCCGGCTTATAGCCTAGCCAATTGAACCGAAATAAGCCGGGAAGAGTGTGCTGGCATGGAAAAGAAATGCCCGAGAATGGGTGCTATGGATTTGTGGCACTATCCTTGCGGCTCCATCTCCTCCCGCCTCCCTTTTCCCAAGAGCCCTTCTCCTTCGCTCCTTGACGCTTCGTTTGGTTTTCGGCGATTTGCATCCCTCGTTTGGGGAACTTGGCGAACTCCAATTTGCCCTCGCTCCCCAGGACTTTTGGGCAATCCCTCAGCCTGTTTGTGGGTCATGGTGGCTGCGGCCAAAGCGTTAAGTGTCCTGGATTTATTATTGGATTTGTGCGCTGGCAGGATGTGTGTTATGTC